CACGCGAATAAACGAACGATAAGCGAGAGAGTGAAGTTTAATTGGGACGATTAATCAGTAAAACAGCGTCAACAAAACAACGCGTCAGAGGACGGAGGCAGGGAATAAGTCATTGCGAGAGGCGAGAAGCCATTTTATTTAATCGGCGTTGGAAGCGACTTTTTTTCTCCGATAGTTCCCCGGGAGCCGTCGTTCCAACGAATTCATATATTCCTTCTTTTTTTTTCTGCTGAAATCGCGGCGAGAGAGAGAGAGAGAGAGAGAGGAGAGAGAGAGAGAGAGAGAGAGAGAGAGAGAGAGAGAGAGAGAGAGAGAGAGAGAGAGAGAGAAGCTCTCCCGGAGTTGTCAGCCCGTATTATACCCTCGTGATGTGGAATATTGAAATATATCCTTGGTCCTTGGCTAGGAACAAGTAAATGAGATCTGTGATTGTCTGGGATGTGTACATATCTATATTGATAATTGATAAGCAATATCTTAGCCCATGAAATACACACGTACATAAATGTTGGAAATCTCTGTGCTGTTAGATGTTAGACGACGAACCAGTCGATTCCGCGCACCAACTAACATGGTTTTTTTCGATTTTGCGTATTATAGAGAAGCTCGATATCGCCAGCTGAGCGAGAAAAATACTCCAGGCCACGTAGCACGCCAGACTCGCAGCACCACGACCACATTCACCTGAAGAAGCTCAGAAGGAACAGGACAAAGACATTAGCCACGTAGGTATCCACCGGGTAAAATGACGTTTCGCGCCGAGTCAGGTGCGAGTAAGGTGCGAGTCAGGTTCCGCTTGACCATTCGTCTGGCGAGGCGCCTAGCATATCTCCCGAACGGGCGAAAGCCGCACCAGCCAGACGAACGATCGATCTCGAGCCGTTTGGATTTGCACAGCGGAAGTGCCAATGATTAATGCGATAATTAACAGCAGAGCGACGGCGAGAAGAGCGATCAGGATTTGGTCGTCGACGACGCGAGCGAGGACGGGCCGACCGGGTAGCCCGACAGCCAACGGCACGACGTCGCCCCGCGAGAACGGCATCGACAAGCTCGGCCCGTCGTCCGTGTCGTTGAGCGGCGGCATGAAGAAGGAAGCTCCGCCGCCGTCGCCGCGCAGCGGAACGAGCAGCAACGCCAGCACGCCGTCGGCCAAGAAAATGGAGGAACGCGAGAAGCCAACCACGCCGATCTCGAAACCCGTGACACCCACCTCAGCAGGTTTGTATTGTAAGGGTTTGCCATTGATTTTCCCCGTTGTCCGACGTCCGAGCGAGAGAGCGCCAAGTAACGCGTGGATCGATCGATCGGTCAGGTGGGAGCAGTTCCGGGTCAGGCGTCATGAAGCCGTCGTCGTCGAGCAAAGCCTTGGTGTCGGCATCGACGATCGGACCGTATCCACCGCACTACCCGCCACCGCACCATCCGCCGGTCGGACCGCACGTCGACATGCTCGGCTACCCGCCCGGTGCCCTCAACGGCTATCCGGCACGACCGCCGCTACAGCAGCTGTACGATCATCACGGCAACATGAGAGCACCCCTCGGACCGCTGGCCGTGCCTGGCGGCAAACCGTGAGTGCCCTTCTGCCTCTCTATCTCGAGCCGCCGACGATTATCGGAGACGCGAGCTTCTCACGAGATGAGTTTGCTGTTTGGCAGGGCGTACAGTTTCCACGTGTCGAGCGAGGGCCAAATGCAGCCGGTGCCCTTTCCCAATGACGCCCTCATCGGGCCAGGTATACCAAGACACGCGCGTCAAATCAACACACTCACCCACGGCGAGGTGGTATGCGCCGTGACCATCTCCAATCCCACCAAGTACGTGTACACCGGGGGCAAGGGCTGCGTCAAAGTCTGGGACATAAGCCAAGGTGGAAGCAACAACTCCAAGCCGGTCTCTCAACTTGACTGCCTGCAACGCGACAACTACATCAGATCGGTGAAGTTGCTCCCCGACGGGCGGACTCTGATCGTCGGCGGCGAGGCTAGCAATCTGAGTATCTGGGATCTGGCCAGCCCGACGCCGAGGATCAAGGCCGAGCTGACCTCGTCGGCGCCAGCCTGCTACGCATTGGCCATCTCGCCGGACTCCAAGGTCTGCTTCAGCTGCTGCAGCGACGGCAACATCGCCGTCTGGGATCTGCAAAACCAGACGCTCGTTAGACAATTCCAGGGCCATACGGACGGAGCGTCCTGTATCGACATCTCGGCCGACGGATCCAAACTCTGGACTGGTGGACTGGATAATACTGTCAGGTGAATTGCCCGTAAACAAGGAGATCGGATAAGCTAAGCGCTCTAGCAGGGCACTCCGAGATAACGTTCCTTTTGTTGCTTCTTCGCTTAGATCTTGGGATCTGAGAGAAGGTCGCCAGTTACAACAACACGATTTCACATCGCAAATCTTCTCGCTTGGCTATTGCCCGACGGGCGAGTGGTTGGCCGTTGGTATGGAGAACTCCAACGTCGAGGTGCTGCACGCCACGAAACCAGACAAATACCAGCTTCATTTGCACGAGTCTTGCGTGCTGTCCTTGCGATTCGCTTCCTGCGGCAAGTGGTTCGTGTCCACTGGCAAGGACAATCTTCTCAACGCTTGGCGCACTCCTTATGGTGCATCGATATTCCAGGTCAGGATTTTTCCAACAACTTTAACATTCTTTCATTTCAACTGTTTCAACTATCGAATGACCTATCGTCGGTACTTCTTTCTGTTACAGTCCAAGGAATCTTCATCAGTACTCAGCTGCGATATTTCAACGGACGACAAGTACATCGTCACTGGATCCGGTGACAAGAAGGCTACTGTCTACGAAGTGATGTACTAAAAGCCCTAGCGCGACTGTTAATATATAAATAACGACTTAGATTTTTAAGCTTGTTAAGATATTTATGAAAGGCACTGTATTCGCAAAAGTATCTCATTTTTCTCCGGACGAATTAAGTCCTGACCCTCACGACATCGTCAGTGTAGTTTATATTTTACATAAAATCGTAGTGAAAAGAACATTTATGCAGAAACATACATTTTTTCATGTCGAGCATAAACATTTTTGTCGGTGCTACTTACTGAATCGTCAGAAAAGAGAGGGAACAGGGGAGGGAGGGAGAGAGAGCTCGATTTAATTGCCACGTAAAATGAATTGTAAACGATCACATACGTCGATATTAGTTGCACTCAGAATGTTTAGCATAATTATTTCCACTTTAACGGAGATGTTTTTTCTTAAATTCTTCTTTTTATTGTATAAAGACTTTAATAATGATATTGTGACAGATTTCTCCTCAAATTAATTTCAAGAGCAATTGTGTTTACTTTTAAAGATAGAAAAAGTAAGATTAAATATATGTGAAAAAAAGGAATTCGAACACAAACAGTTATTTAATAATGTATAAAAAGTAAGAAATTTATGTACTTGTAAGTAGAAGGCATGCTAAAAAAGATAATGAAAGACAGAATAATACGATTGCGTATCTGTGAGAAACGATTTTCAGCGTGACACGTCTGTCGTACTGAAAAATCGTAATTGTAAAATAGAATTTATTAATTTTTAGGGGCGAATGGCAGAACGTATGTGTGAGACAATAGATATATAAGTGTATAGCAAGTAAAATAATATTGCTAATTGTATATGCCTCACAATATTTGACGAATGAAGTGAAATATAAAAGAAGTGAGAATAACGGAACCATGAGTCTGCGTCACTTTTGAATTAACTCCGTGTGCTCTCTTATAACAAAACATTCTGCAATTTGGATGAGCGCAAATTTTAATGGGAAAACAAGATAACGTGAAAGTAATCTTATATAAGATGCATATTGCTACAAAAACCATTAAAATATCTTACGTAATAAATACGAAATCAGTATGAAATGGACGATTTAACGCGTGATGACGATATTATGCTGTTCTAGACAGTGTTGATGCGTAAAAAAGAACATTTACACGCATAACGACGATATGTTGATAATATACTGAAAAGATGAAAACAAAAAATATGTATCGCCACTCATTATCAGATATTTGACAAAATATTTTTGTGACTGTCAATGTAAAACGGCTCGCAAGAGGCAAGACAAGGCCGAAAGAAAAAAAAGAACGACTTTAGAACCGTAAGAGATTTTGCATTTTTATCACTAGTATCCGCTTCTTTAAATGATTTCATTTTTAAAACAAATATGAGTAAATTAATTGAACGCTGTTGAAACAGCAGCTGACTCTCATTGCGCGCGCTTGACCAATATGTGATCCCATGAAAATGCAAAATCCGACGATAACCATTGTGAAAAACCTTGAAATGCCTCGGGCGGAGCTAAAGCCTCTTATAAAAGGTATTTAGATAGCGCAATATTGTTCAGAGCCAGCTGTGAGTCAGATGCAAATACGGATATTTATATTTTGTTACAGGAAGATACACACAAATTATTACACCCGCCGTGATCGCAGCAAAGTTGCTTTTCAAATGTTTGTTCTCTATCCGCGAAGGCATACATAGATTTTAATTACATACACACATACACACTCTATGAGAGCTTTTAGTGCCGTGACTTTGTCAACGTACCCATACACAGACACACAGATGCGATGATAAAAAGGTAATAACTTTGAGCGATCACGGTTCCGATGAATAGACCAATAGAAACATTTATACCTCAAGACTCAATAGATTATTGCAGCTAATGAAACAACTGTACAAATCAATATTCTTTTACAGTAAAAGAAAAGTAAACATAGCAGCATCCGTGATTCAATGGAACATTGTTAATTGTAGACTCACTTTATTATCACAATCCAAGCTTGCGTTTTTTGTCATGTATTAGGCTGGCATACCATCTTTGATTTAGCTATCGATTGCTCGTTTTAATAAGCTTTTCCATATATAGAGCGATCGCAATTTTTTCCCATTGAAAACGACTTAATCAGTTTTTTAAACACAGTCCATGTTGTTCCTATAGCTACGCGGAAATTGTTCTTTTTTGGCAATTAAATTGTGTGCATGTACGTATACGCAGATAAGGCGACTTACTTATCTATGTATATGTGTATGTGTGATTATATATATATATATATATATATATATATATATATATATATATATATATATATATATATATATAATTTTAATGGTTTTATTTGTTACATCTTTACTCTGACCTAAATTGCCCATCCTTGTAATTATATTCAATATTTATTTTTTGTTAACACTTATAAAGATTCTTTCATAAATACAATAGTAATAAACCAACTTATTTCTTTCATTTTATTCCCTTAACTTTTGTCATAAGAAATATAACTTAAATTAATAATATAGACTTTCCATTAAGATCTTGGTCTGTTTTTACGTAGTCAATTACTATAATTTGTTTAGATAAAAAAAAGTTCTCATCAATCTTTTGTTATAATTATAAATGAATTATCAAAATTTATTTTGAAATTACATCAATACTTAAAAGTTGCTTATGAAGTTATGAAAATTAAAATTTCCAAAAATAATCAGTTTTAAATACATCTTCAAATATACAATAATTCGCGAAACAAACACCGAAGGCGCCACGTCCACAGAAGAGAGCAGGTGCCAATATTACGGCTGATGGCGGTACTGGCGGCGGCTAACATGTTAGTTGATACTGCGTCTGCTCAGTAATACGGCCATGACAGTACAAGGTAGCAATCATGGCCGCGAACGCTGTAGTCCGAACGGTAATGTAGCTACTGGTTGTGTGTGATTCACGCTCTATATCTCGACAAATCACCGTGTGTGCGTGTGCGTTTTACGCGCGGCTTTTTCAACTGGACTGTTCAACAATATTATTTCAACCGTTCATGATGAACATGTCCGTAGAGAAGAAAAAATACCCGTCAGCTTTGCCAAGTAACTGGCCGACGCGCGACGAGCAGCCTCCACGAAAGACCCAAACTTCACAACAACTGCCCCTCTCGTCAGGGAAGGTTGATGTTGGTTTTTATTACAGGTATTGCATATACTTTCACATTTCATTTTATCACTGATGAAAGCCAAGATTTATCTTGATATTTCATTGCCGAGCGAGTGCAGTTTTCGCTTTGCTTGGGTTATTTATGGTTCTGGTGTTTTAAAGAACAACAGTGCTTTATACGATAGACGCGTTGATTAACTACGGTCCAATGATTTAATTAGTCTAAATGTGCGTTTTACAATGTTGTCAAGTTTTTAGAAAAATGTTAAAATTTTTCATGATTTACATACATATGATACATTTATACTCTCTTTGATTATATGTTCCTTACCAAAGAAACACGAAAAATGAAAAATTAAAGAGCAATGTTACTCTGAAGTAAATTATAATTTTTATATAAAAACATTAATTTAATAATATAAAAGGCCTAAATTTTGATAGATAATGAGAGATTTAAAAGTAATTTTAATCAAAATTTCCATCAACTATGTAATACTAATAAATGTGAATTTTTCAGTCGTGGAGTCAGAAATGATGCATCTTTGGTACCTCCTATCAGACAAACTGCATCCATTTTCAAGCAACCAGTCACTATTTATAAAACACAAGAAGGAAAGGTGAAAGACAGTCCTAAGCATGGATCACAAGATAAGCCTAAGCAGGTAAGAATCCAAAAAAGTAAATAAAACCTAATGTGTTATTGTTTCCACATTTTTTATATCGTAAATTATGTACTAATAATTTTTAAGTGTTGCTCCTAAATATTGTTGTTTTATCTCTGGAACTGAATTGAAATTTAATGCACTTACACTCAAAACACAAAATTGGTCATTCAAAGTTTTATTTCACTTTCTCTTTCGATTATGATTTTAATTTTTTTAATTAATATAAGATTAGTTTAATAATCATTCGTTATTTATGTGCTTGATTTGGAAATCCAATAACTCCATTAGAATGGAGCCAATAAGTCTCACAGCAAGAATGGCTTCCAAGACAAATCTAAACAGGTAAAGTTTTTGTTGCACATCAAAGCATTGATGACATTTTCTTTTATCATGATTATTGTGCATAACAGTTTATAATAATACTCCCAACCACCTCATGATTTCAAATAATTTTTATGAACTGTTTAATTTCAAATGCATGAATGTGATTCATAAAGCATTATGCTAAATCAATTAAACATAACTACATATCAAATAAATAAATCAAATAATAATATCAATAACAATCAAATAATACTAACACTTTCAGGCAATGGATTAATCGAATTAGTGGGATTTAATAATGTGAAATTTATTCAAATTATCAACATGTAGTAATTTCTAAAATATGTTGTTGCTGTCAATAGGGTAAAAATATCGTACTAAATGCTATTAGCAAACTGAATTAATTTTTATTCTTTTACAGCTTTTTTGGGAGAAGCGGTTAGAAGGTCTAAGAGCTTGTGATCCAGATGGTTATGAATTGGGTGGTATGGACTTGCCTAAATCACTGAAACCCGTGGGACCATATATAACGGAGGAAACACTTTTACAAAGTGTTGCAACGGCGTTACATGTATCAACGCAACCAGTCACTGGACAAACAGGCCCAAAGTCTGCTCTTGATAAGAATTCGGGTGTCTTCCTCAATCCTGATCAGCCACTTATGCAGGTATGCTATGTTATTAGAATAAAAATCTACAGAAATAATGGTAATATGAACGTGTGTTAATAGCAATTATATTTCGATTGTAGGCTGTTATGATAACAGATGAAGACATTAAGAGACAAGAAGAAAGAGTAACAATCGCAAGGAAAAAGTTACACGAAGCTTTGCGTACTATGTACGCGTGAACTTAGCTCATTATTTTGCCGTTTACTTGCTTATAACATCAGTGGTAGCTTTTTCTCTGACTAGTTTCTAAGTGCTTTGTCGAAATATTTTATCATTTTTTGAATTAATTTGACTAACAAATCATCATCCAAGAGAAAAAGCATCTGAGTATGAATTTATAACTTGAGAAAATGTTATCTTGAAATCATAGAATTCATTCCTGCATTTTTCCATGAACTCTTATTGTATAAACGCCTAAGGCAAATGTTGCGTGAGATTATTAGTGTAATTCTTGTAAATAACGTTAGAATCTGTGGTTTTTTTGAACTAATGAAGAGAGAAATCAGTTGTGAGATGTGAAAGTGAAGTGAATTTGATATTCATTTAATTACAACGTTTAATATGCAGAAACTGAGAATCAAAAGATATATTTATTTACTTGCGCAAGGTTCTTCAAGCGTTGTATATGTATAACTGTTGCGAGAATCCATAAAAAGATGCACTAAGCAATTTTATTTCTTGCAATCAGCGATTGTGATAATGTTATAATTTTATAATTATGTTTAATACGAACAGATTCAATCTTAATGATTTCAACTTTTACCAATGGGTAATTTTTCCATACACTGTAATTATGCACTTATTAACAAAATAATTGTACAAGCGTAATAAAACCAACTTTGTATGCAAATAATATAGTATTTTTGTTAAAAATTAGCTTAAATATATCAAATTAAAGTATATAATGTGGTATAAATTCTAGTGAATCTTAAAATCGAGATTTAAAAACTTGAACTAGAAATTTAAAAAATATGTAAGAATTTTTAATGAGTTTTTATGTGTGATGTAATAATAATGATAATTAATATTCCTTCGTAAAAATCAATTATTAAGAAGAGGGAATCTAGGTGGTTATATAATTTAATTTTCATTTCATAATTTTAGATTTCCATTAATACGTGCGTAGTACATTTTAATGAACAAGCGTAGTATTTATGTAACGTTTACTTTTTCCTATTAACTTTAAAAATAAATCTAAAATATAGAATACGTATTCGACGATATTATTTGAAATTTGTTCTACCAAATATAAATATACGATAATTTGATAAATATATTAATGTTTTGCTGTTTATTTAAAACTTAAATTCTATTTTAATAATTCATATTTGTTAATTTACTATTTAACAGCTTGGATTTTTTTCATCACTTCAAATTTGTAGTTTTGCACCATAAACCAACGTGACTTGATTAAATAATTTTTTTATTTGGATTATTTTTCAATTGATGTAACGTTATAACTTTTTAAAATTATAATACACGTAATCACTACATATGCTTCAGAACTACTTTTGCCTTTGAAAAACTCAAAGAAATTTTATTAACATGTGAAAAAGATGTTTTTGAGGATAAACATTTCTAATTTATGTACTCATATCTTATCATTTTTAATTACATCATATTTTTTATTTAGTATCTTTTAATCATTATTTTAGGAGTGAAGTCAATCTCATTAACCCGGTATATGGAACACATTTTACAGTGCACTACTGTACCAGTAATTTTTAATCACTTTCTTATTTTTGTAAAATGATCGTTGCGTGTTTCGCGTTTAAGATAGGTACAAACTAGGGGAGTCTTCAGCTACGACTCCAGCACATTGGAAAAACGATTTTTGTATTTGTCTTGCTCGTGTGAAGAGAAAAAATTTATAGTATTCTTTAGATGGTCACCTTTCCTATAGTTATTGATGAAATTGGATATGTATTTTTGTTTGTCCGGAAATAATTATAACCTCAAAATTTTTTTAAATGCATGACAACGGCAAAACTGTTACGAATTTTCAAAAATCCAATATATATATATATTGGTACCGTAAGACGGTAATTTGAAATAATCAACACAATAATTGTAATGAATGGAAAAAGTAGATTTTTAATTATAAAAGTTGTAATAATCTTTATGCTACTCTAACATAAAAATCGTAACTTTATTGTTTATTTTCGGATTCTCGTTGCATAAAATATCGTATGTAACTAGTGCAGAAAGGCTATTTTACGAAACGAATTATAGCCAAAGGCTCGTGCTGTAAACTTCTCGTTTGGTGAAACAAGTCTTTCCGCACTTGTTGCATAATATACTATTAAAAAAGTTGTGAACAAGAATTAGATTGTAATAAGCGTATTTATTTATTGATTTCTCGACAACGACTGGCCCATGAGCATTCTCCTCGTAACATTTGAGTCCCAGCTTTTATATTATGACTACAACTTTATAGCCTGTGACATCTCCTTACCGCTAGAAATAAATAAAAGAATGCTGTATGCTGTGAATTTCCTCCTGAATGTATAAGCTCTTAGTTATTTTCATACAATATTTCATTGCTTCTTATCCCAAGAATGTGTATATCAATTTAGAAGTTTTAATATTTATTAGAAAAAATTATAGGAGTGATTTAGTGAATCGGTGTTGCGCTGTGGCAGCGATTATGTTTAAAAGAATAGGTAGGTACGTGCTTCAAGGGTTATTAACGAAAAAATGAATAAAAATTGGTATTACGACAAAAAGCCGAATCATTAAATTTATCCTATCATTTTTTCTAATATTAAATCTCTAAAATTTATATACTCATTCTTGCCTGGCATGTTTTTAAAAAATGTAGTATTAATATATATTGGATTTTGGAATATTGGTAACATAGCTTTGTCGTTTGAAGTTGCGCATTTAAAAGAATTTAAGGTTAACATTTTTCCCGTAAGATAAAATAAAATTTTATATATATATATATATATATATATATATGACAAAAACAACAAGAAAGTTGATTAAGGAGTGTTTCCAAATTTTTTTACTTCAATATATCAATAATTCCCTTCATACGTGTAAGCCAAACAATAATCGCTTTTTTAATACTCGGGAGCCCCAGTCGAAAACCTTGGAAGTAGGTAACTCCCTTAATTACTGTAATTAAATAGGAAAGAGACGAAATTCTAAATTTTTCATTGAACAAATAAAAAAAAACATCCATGCAAACATCGAGTATTTTAACCTTTTCAGTGACACAACTAACGCGATAGTTTAATTTTCAATTTAACATACTACCCTAAAGTTTTGTGGTTATTGTTGATTACGAATTTAAAGTAAGATGTTATCAATTCATAATAGTAGATCCAATATGGCGGACATAAAATTTTTATTTGGTCAAATGTTTAAAGAAAAATTTTCTGATAGGTTTTTAGCCCTCCCCCCAGATATATATATATATATATATATATATATATATATATATATATATATATATATATATATATAGGTATACCTGTGTGCGGATAAGTGCGTGCAAACGTGTCGAAGTCATTAAAAAAGTGTAGTTCTATTATATTTTGCCAATCAAAAAAAAGTCACTATGGTAATATGGTAACGAAAGATATTAATAAATGATAGTGTTATTTTATTGCTTCAGACCAAACAATAAGTTTATATTCACTAGTGGTCTGTTAACGCTCTGTTGACGTTACCGACTGAGCAAACGTTTTTCCAGGATTTTTCTTAAACAAATGAACTAGTCAACTTGAAACTTTTTTCAGAACATCCATTATACATAAATAAAGAGCTGCAAAGAATTGTTTTTTTAATTATCTTAGAAATTATAAAGAAATTAAACCTCTACGCGTAGTTTTTACTATTTTCTTACAATAGATGTTCCGAAAAAGTTTTAAGTTGACTAATTTATTTCGTTGAAAAAAAATGGTAAAGCCGACAGAGCCTTGTACAAGATTTTGGAAATGTATTAGTTATTTATGCCTCAGCAGCGTATCGAGTGTCATTACACCGGAGGAGAAAATGTTTTCAGCGCGGAAGAGCATATGTGACCGGGGTCTTATATCTCGCGATGCAAACATTTTCTTCTCCGGTGTGAAGTCGCTGGTTGTGCTGCTGATGCTTAAATAGTACATTTCACCTTTGGCAAGGTTGTATGAGGGTTCGGGTTTTTAGATACCGAGAACAATCGGTCGGTAAATGAGTCATATGCGACGCAACTACACGTAATTTATAATATATTAAGTATAATAAATAATATTTTTGTTTTTCCAGTCTTTTATTAAGAACACTGTCAATACTATTGGACCGGCTGGCACAAACATGTACTATCAAAACCATGCCTTTGTCGCATCAGAGCAAAACTACTATTCGTTTAGCTAACTTACACCCCATGTGGTAAGTGAAAGTTTCACTGGAGGGTGAGTCATCCTCCAGTATAATGAATCCCTTCACCTGCCTTCTAGTATAATAGCGCTATTACATTAGGAACAGCAGCTGCTCCCGCGTTTGGTACCCATTTACCGACTGAGTGTGTTCTGTACGTAAAAACCCGAATACGACTGGCTGCAATGAAAAATAAAAAGAACCTATTAACTTTCTTAGTGACTTTGATGCGTTTGTATGTTATATGTGTTTGTACGAGCTTGTACACACATGTATGCACATAAGCGACGATAGCTTTAGGATTGCTGATTACGAATGTGAACGATGAAGTCAGATTTTGCAAATTTATAATGGCGGATATAAATTTTTAATTTGTCAAATGTGCCCTAAAAACTCTTTTTGTGAGTTTCTGTGTTTGCTAATTACGATTATAAAGTCAAATTTTGCGAAATAACGAATCCAATATAGCTAACCAAAAATTTAATGTTTATTTAATTTGAACATTTTTTCACAATAATCGTTGAACTTTTACTCGTTTTAAAATGTATCAGAAAAATTATTATATTTATTGCCTCATTAAAAAAACTCGTAAACATTTTTCAACGTTAACGGGTTTAACATTCAGATAATTAGTTTCGTTACCTGCATATATTTTAATCAATAATGTACAGAAGATAAAAATATATTTTCCTATGTTTAATTCTATTCACTTTCTCTATCTTTCAACCAAACTTTAATATTAGTATGAACTTTAGTATCATAGATGTTATAAAATTATTGATTTTTACTGAAAATTTCAAATATAGCTTCTTATTTTGATAGAACGATTTATTGAGACGGCATATTTCCATTCCTGCAGACTATTCATATTAATTATTCATAAATTAAATTTACCGTTGAAATATAAATCTCACACCCATAGATATATAATAAAAATATTTGAAAGTACGAAATAAAAAATGTTGCACTCGTTTTGCAGCAAGCAATGATAACGCTGGGGTCTGGTCGTAGTCGAAAACATACGTTGCGCAGAAGCTCAATGCTGCAACTGTGCAATCACGTATACTGTGCATCAACTTCGACAGAGCCCCTGGGTGTGGACGACTCGTCATTTTCTTTAAGATAGAAGACAATCCTGCATGACTCGATTATCCTAAAGAAAAGCATCGACATCCAAAGCGAGCAGCGACACTCAAAAGAGATTTCGAAAAGAGAAGAAAGAGGCAGTTGGGCTTGGCTGGACGCCATAAATCGGATCGAGAAACATAATGCGAAATAGGCGACAATGTTTGATTGTAAAAGCAGCTGGCGTAGAGCGGACCGAGGGCCGACGACGAGGCAAACTATGCAGTCGAAGGCACGAAGGCACGCGTGAGTATACGTACGGGAGAAGAGGAAATGGGCAGATTGCGTGGCGCGAGGTCAACATTTCAATGCTGCAGGAGCGCAAGTCTGCGGCCGGTTTCGCTACGTGCCCTTTCGGCTGCGACCAGAACGCGTTTTAGGTCTGTATCCAGAGGTAAGCCCAGTCGCGAATAGCGCGCGCGCGCGCGCGCGCGACCAAGAGATTCGATGGAAAAGAGACCAACTGTCGAGAATGTCATTGGTATTTGGACGGAGACAGCGGAGCAGAGCTGCCGACACTACGACTTTTCTCGTGGTAAAGTCCGAACGGGTCGTGTCGGGAACGGTCGAG